TACATTGTGGCAAGAATGCGTTTCTGTATCTTGAACCGTTTAGGAGATATAGTAATTTAAAATGTTTAACTTGTGATGATATCTCCGTTTCTACTGTGAATTGAATGTCGAGCTTTATGGTCAAAGTAGGGTTGATATAGAACTATATTACAAAAGAGCGTCCTGTATCTTGAGACCTTTAGGAGATATCGAAAGTTAAATATGCTATCGATGAGGTTCGCTTATAACTTCCATTTATCTCAAGAGCGCTTCTCGGGAACATTCCGTTCGAAAGGTTAGTCCGTGATAAAAAGTTTCTTGCGATCTGAGGCCGCTGTTGTTTAAAGTTAAATTGCAGCAACGGTATTGTTATCGGTCAACCCTGAGACCGGCTGCTAACATCCATTTGTGACGTCTGCCGCGCCTTTGCGGTTACCGATAAATTCAGTTTTCTTGATTGCTCGCGTGATTTCAAGTGGCCATAATATATGGCGAGAATACATGGCAATATATGGGAATAATATATGGTAATAATATACGGCAACAATATATGGCAACAATATATGGCAACAATATATGGCAACAATATGTGGCAACAATATATGGCAATAATATAGGACAATAATTCATGGAATATATTTTTCGTTACAAGAGTCAATGCAAATTTGCGGCATGCACAATGTAATAATAAAAGTAATAATAAAGTAATAATAAAAGTTCTTTCTGCGAACTTTGAGTCAGACACTCACCAATGATGATATTGATGATGTCCTGTTGCATCCAACCAGATCCACCAATGTCCGCCCATGTCCGCTGCCGCTCTCCATGTCGCGCAACATCCATCTTGCAGCTCGTCCCACGGTGATCGCTACACTTTCATCACACTTCCGCGACGCGGTCGATACGCGGTATTAGAACGGCGATATTTACATCAATTAACGAACGTTTTACTCGCCATCGGTGGAAACTTTTTGCGCGCTGCGAAACGGACTCTATAAACTCGATCGGCGAGGAGTAAGAACCGTGTGAAAATTTATTGACTCGTCCAACGGATTTTTACGGTGCTTTTCGCGATTGCAGCTGAAAAGTCGCGAAAATGTGGGATTATCGATATTTACGAGTGAAATATTCGCGACGCGAATGCACGCGAGGAAAGATTAGACAATCAGAAACCGCTTAGGGAGCCTCCTTAGGGAGCGCAAAGAGAGAGGAGCGGGGCAAAGTTTTCACGCATTATAGCTCTGTCACGACGAAGCTTACGTTCGCGATACTTTTAGCTACGTTTGGCGAAATGAGTATTTAAGTTTTCTTTGTTAGCAACGCGAGTAAAAACGCGTATATTGACGACCGCGGTCGCGATATTCAAAGGCACACGAGCGAGAATACCTCAAGCTCGGCGTGCGCTGGCGCAATTTCTACGCGCATTATACGTTACTCGAGACAATAGGGATTGTGATGAATGGACAATATTGCCAAATAATTCTACAGCCTGTTTTGCAAATAAAAGAAAAGTAGCTAACGATATCGGCATTTAGGTATGAATATATTTTATACGGACAATTGAATATTGTCAAATAATTAAATCGTTGAGTAATTCTGCGGCCCGCTTGAAAAATAAAAATAAAGCAACTGATGTCGGTGTCGCGGTTGTACATATGAATATTCTCTTATTCAGATGACTGAACATCAAAAGAGAATCATTCAGTATTTTAAATCTTGTATGTAATGCAGGCTATCGATCAAGTAATCCCCTGATTGTTTCGAGCAATGTATTTTATTCAACGTCACAAATATACACATGCAAGTATCTATTTTCAATTCGCATTGACTCGAACGATATTTTTTAGTCCCACATCCGTCATGCAGAATTTTGTTTCTCTTTTCATTTTGACTCACCGAAACGACTTGCAGTCAGAGCCGGCCACGTTCCGCTTCAACTCTGTAACAAAAAATTCACATTTGCTCATCAGATTTGACCAACGAGTGCGGGCGAGTAAAAGAGTAGTTTACCCTCTGCGTTCGTAATTCAAGTCGAGCCGGAAATTATATCCCAGCTCTAGATCGCCAAGGGTCAAACAGAAGACTATAGTAAACTTGTAAACTTACCTTCAAGCCGACTCTGCTTCGCCCGAACCGGATCCTCCGGTGCGGCATCCGCGTCCACCGGATTGCTGTTGCTTTCCGCAACAACTGAAACAGAAAAATAATTTTCCCGGTTGATAACCTGCGGTAGAGAGAGAATATCTTTGATCGGGACCAATCGAAAATACGGATATATTTTGATACGGAATTTTTATCTTTATATTTTTGTTCCAACATTATAAATTTAAATGGGACTTGAAGCTTTCAAGAGAGCTGATGAGGAACAAGTTACAAAGGCAAAGATCGTAAAGAGTTGAACACAGATGTGTAGGAAACTTGTAAACTTTACCTTCCGGCCGACCCTGCTCTGCCCGAACCGGATCCTCCGGTGCGGCATCCGCGTCCGCCGGACTTGCTTCCCGCAACGTCTGGAACAAAAATTTAGCGTTCTTGGTTGGTAAGCTGCGGTAGAGAAAAAATGGTTGGTCGGGATGAGTGGAGAATATTCGCTACGATTTTTTTTCTTTATTGACATTGAATGTCTAGATAGGAGCTCTTGAAAGAGCTGACGAAAGAAAATGACAATAAGAAGCGGAGACAACAGTTGTGTGCTCTCGAAAATATTCTTTTACGGATGGACATTTAAATTCAGATCCCGTAACAAGAGTAAACAAACTTGAAAGAAGCGCTGACCGAAAAAAAAAAAGATCGCAGTCTAAGAAGCGATATGACGTTGAATATTCTACACAAGACCAATATTCTCACACAGGAATTGGGAATGATTCAGAATGTTTGATTGAGAACATGATGAATTCGAGATCCACGTCCATGGATCGTTAACCGTCTTTGTCTGGATCAATATCTTTTGTATACAACAACGCAATAAATAGATAGACAGACAAAGATTGACGAGAGTAATTGCAAATTCATAAAGTGATGATTACTAGTCGGATGATGACGGATTGTGAATGCCGAGCGCGAAATTCCGACTTCTTATTCCCGGAAAATTCGTCAAACGTACGCTCTCGTTATCGGAGACCTCCCGCGTAATAAATGATTCCACATACCTGGAAACGTGACGTATCGCTGCCGGCGTTCTGCTTCTCGACTGCTGAAGTCCTCCGGATTTCACTCGCTCACGTTTCTAATGCTGATACTCGCGATTCGACCGTGCAGTTAATGAATGAGATGCCGACGCGATGCCGATTGAGTATCTCGAGGACCGACGAGATATATTTCTTTTAATTACACGAGACGGAAGTGACGAGAGCGTCGCGCACGGCTGCTGCTGATGGAATGAGGTCGAATACATGAGGTGCGCGAGTATTATAATACGAAGGGCAAAAAGTGTCGTCGCTCGCGAGCCGATCAACACAATCGGCGCGATGTAAACATTGCGGGCCTCGGCGGCGGTTGAAGCAAGAGAGACTTGCCTTTGAGCGTCTCTTGTTTTCTCGAAGGTTTCGAAACGACGAGGGGAATGCGAGAAGGCCTTTCAACTGTACGCGACATTGATGCGCTCTATTTATTGATTACTGAAAATAAAGAAAATTACTCTGTCGAAGCATCGGACATTTGTTAGCTTTATGTTAATTAAAGAGGAATGTATACGATTAGAAAATGTGTTAGCAACTAATTGTACAGAGTGTAAGTTGTTGTGACGCCGTTTTCAGAGAATAATTAAAGGTCATGGTAGCGTTAAAGAATGGAATTTCATCCTATGTGAATTTAGTCGCGCTCTTATTAAATATTAGTCCTGTATAAAATGTCGTATTTAAAAGTATTGTTTCGCATTCACGAGATTTTGTCGTGAATTCTGCTCTCAGATTGGATCGCGGGTGAATACTTTTTAATGCGACGGGGAATAGAACGTGAAAATCTTGTATGCCTCTGAATCCGAAAACGATTAGGAGAAGAAGTGAATATTTTTCAATACGAAAGTTCGCATTTAAAAATTATCGATTGCGATTGAATACAAGGCATATTTGAAACGAATTGAATCCTTGTTAATGCGAAGCATTCACTACTGCCATCTCGCATTTAGCGCGGTGAAATTTAATGGGAACTAATACTTTTTATTTTCCCTTTCTTCGGATCAGAAAGCAGAATTCAGACGTATTCAAAATGTCAATATTTTTTAATATGTTTCAGTTCGACATTTTATACAGGGAGATTATCCGCTGCGGACAATAACTCTTCTACTTTTCATTTAACATTCAATGATGATAAATAACATTTAATTGCATTCGTTTGGCTTTTTTTATTTCGAAAATAAGAAAATATATACCGGGGTGAGATTTTACCCATGACAACATCAACGTGATTTTCTTTGATGCTTTTTTTAAAAGTTCAAATATTTCGTCGACTCGCAGGATATTTATAATCGGAGTCTCGTCACGTTAATTACGTGAATAACACGTGCTCCTCCGAGCGGATCGAATGTTCACCGACGGCCACTGTCAGTGCCACGAGCGAATGTCCGGAGCGGACGGGATGCTGAATTAAAAAACAAGACGAAGTGAACGGGACGCGGACAACGATACATCATGCGTCTCCATACATGTCAAATTGTTTATTATAGAAGAGACTTTGATACGGCAATATATATTCGAAAATTTAACATTTAATACGTACTTTTATTTTTTCTGCTCCTCCCCCCCTCTCTGCCGCTCTTTTTAGACCACACGAGCATAGTCTGGCATAGAGATGGCAACTGTCATTGCAGCACGGACATAAACCGCCTGAAAGTGGATGTAGCATGGACTTCCACCATATGCAGATTTTACCACCGAGACCTGAAAGTGGATGTACTATCGTAGTTCCCCTCTCAAAATGGATGTAGATGGCGTCCTTTCCCAGTGCGGAAAGTCGGTGTCGCAGAAAATGTCGTATTGGCCGCTCTCAGGTTACTCTCTGATAATACTGAATATATAAAAAAAGAAAAACAAAAAAGAATATTAGTAAATATCAAGAAGGTAACTAACATTGTTTTATTTAAATTACATTTGCAAGAGAAAGGTACATTTAGGCCTTTGTATCCTACATACATTAAAATCATATGATCTTTCTCTTGTAGCTTCAAGTAATTAGAAAAAATCTTTTATTTCAGATTCAATGGAAGCTAAACTAATTCTATGATGAATATAGCAGCAATTCCGATCCTATAACAAATGTCTAAAATTTGGTATATAAGCCAATAATACATTCGAATCTTTTTTTTTTAATTAATATGAGAAAGTAGAGCAGAGGAAAAGTAGGAAATGTAGTATTAAATTTCCAAATGGATATATATCTTTAAATTAGAAACTACTTAAATTCTTTTTTCAAATTTTGTTCTTAGATAAAATTATAAAATATTCAGATATGAAAATTGGTTCATGTATATGTGTGTATATGTGTACATACATAATATACACATATATGTACATACATATATGAACCATTTTTTATATCTGAATATTTTGCGATTTTAAGAATAAAATCTGAAAAGATTTAAGTAGTTCTTTCTTCTATTTTAAAGATTTGTCCACTTGAACATTTATCAGGACCATGTCATAGGACTCTGATATTGTTGCAGGTGGATGGTGTATGTGTATATTACATACATGATAATTTACACAGATTTTTATTAAATAATTCCCCAAACTTCTTCAAATGCTGTACATAATTTACTACATGTGATAGCAGCTGAGAGAGGATATTTACTAATTGCAATAATATCTTCTGTATAATCTGTTTTAACCTAGAATAAAACCAAATTTATAAATAATAGAACAATTAATGAATTATTGATATTGACAGAGTTATTAATATGTATAATCGTATTTGTAATTGTTTACTTGGCCATGTGCCATAGCTCCAATTACAATAGCAATTGGTTCTTCAGAAGGCACAAGTTCTCGTGGATTTTGTACTTTGTTAGAGCTAAATGACATCAGAATTTTGCGACAACCAACTGGCAAATGATCAGATACAGGATTCTTAATTACTTTCAGTAGTTTCATTGGTCCATCAGATGCTCTAATATTATATTTGTGTAATAATTGTACTGTAATATAATAATATATTAATAACTTCAAATTATACAAAACAAAAAACAAATATAAATATTTACCTATTAATCCAGCAAAACGTTTGAAAGTCCTTGGTATCCTGGTTTGTGGATTAATTTCTATCAATACATTTTTCTCTGTATGAATATATACTTGTAACAATCCTGCTCTATTTAATGGACTATCCATTAACATTAGCAGACACTGATGAGTAATATCTGGCCTACATGATCCTGGATCACGATTGTATTTCTTTAAAATAGCTGTATGATCATCACAATTCAACAGCTCAAAATTATTTCCATTCTGCAAAATATATAAATGTTGAATTAATCTACTTCAATTAACTTGGCTTTGTAAAGAGATTCATGCGTTTATAGATATCACATTAAAATCATAAATGCATAGAAATCATTGATAGTGATAGGAAATGAATATTTTTAAGCCTTTAAACGCTAATTAACACGAGAAACATCACCTTCACAGATTCTAGTTGAGCATATTCCAATATAACAATAAGACGCTTCTCTTGATTCTTAATATGTTTTACTTGCAAATGTTTAGAAACAGGATCGTATTCATAATTATCATCATTCTGCCTTTTCCTTTTTGGTTTCATTTTGAACAAAATATGAAAATATTACAGTGTTTGTCACTTCCCACGTGTATAAATCGAAACAAACCGTGTATTGTTAACTGCATTACCATTAGGGCAAGATCACAGGCTTTTGCATAACACATAAAGCTTTAAACACAATGCCAGGCAACAGGCAATAAGAATAAAAATAGACCAATCATAATCGACTATTACAAGAATAATCTATTGTGATTAGTCTATTTTTATTCTTATTGCCTGTTGCCTGGCATTGTGTTTAGGGCTTAATACATAACACATAAAGCTCGTATCAGACTATGGATTGGGATTGAGATTAGATTGAAATTTGACCAATTGAAAAAGAGAAAATAATCTCAAGTATAATAAACTTACTCCTGATTGGTTAAATTTCAATCCAATACTTAATCCCAATCCGTAGTCTGATACGGGCTTAAGAGAATAAACCAATTAGTTTTCTTCATTTTCCTCCTCAAGACAGAAATGAAGAACTCTGATTGGTTGATTCTCTTATGCGTTGTGTATTATACGTTATGCAGAAGTCTATGCTCTGGCCTTTTGGCCTGTTCGTTTTGTCTGCACTGCTAAACTCAGTCCAGTTCGGTTCGGTATATGCCTTTAGGTAGAAGGGTGTACCCATACGCCATTCTTCAGCTGCGTTAAGGGGAGAAAATGCACTGCTAAACTGGTGCATTAAGTTAAATATGGTCTGTTCTTTTTAGCTGCACTGCGGAACTAGTGTAATAAGTTAGAATGAGACAATTATATTTTTTCTCACTTTAACTTATTGCACCAGAGTTCAATAGTGCAACAAAGGCCGTGTTCCAAAATTCACTGCCGGTACTGAAAATATATAGTTTGTGTCACGCAAATTATAACTTTTCAGCGCTGGCAGTGAATTTTAGAACACGGCCTAAAAAGAACAAATCTCTTAATATTTTGACATCGATTATTTTTATCGTACAAAATCGATTATCGTATTATTACCTAAACGATAGTTTTTAATTCGATATTCCTAGAATCATCAGCGTTTTCAAATGCGACCCATTAAACGCTAAAAACGTTTTAATGCTCGTTTCTATAAGCCAACTGTGGTTAATTTAACCGGATGGTTATTCGACCGGCTGATTATTCAGTCAAAATTGACTAATTGTCTTTGCTAATTTGATTAATGACAGATGCAATTGGAACTACCAACTTTGTTAACTTAACAGGCTGGTTAGTCGACAGGTTTATCCAATCGCATATGTTATTAATCGGTATTGAAAAATGCGGTTGGTCAATGCCGCTGGAATAACCAGCCGATTAAGTTAACCAAGGTTGGTAGAAACAAGCATTAGTGCTTCGGTATGGATCATCGCTGTAGGTAGGGCAAGATGGCTCCATCGATAGGAACAGCTGTTTTACGCTGAAGGACATCGTAAAGCAAGTAAATAATAAATTGGAAACAATATAAAACGACGATAGATCGACCTCTCATATTAATCGTTAAATTCGTTAGTAGATAGTAGCACCAAAATTAATTATAGCGGTTCATTGTTGCAAGCGTAACGTTAAAATAATTTTAACGTTCCGACTAATAATGACCGTTGATACACTCTCATGTGATTTTACAGAAAAGTACGAAATCTGACACAGAATGTCACGGGCTGTGCTTTAGTCAGTATAGGTCTCAATAAAAGTTACATGCAGCGATAAGCAAACACAGTTTTAAGATGGATGTAGTGACCACTAGCCTAGAAGCTCTCATACGTGAGTATGATTACAAGCAATATTAGCAATTTAAATATGACTTTTTCCGAAGAGACCTAATATACATATTGTGGAATATTGCATTGTCATAGAGAGAGCAACAAATTCACAAAATCAGAAGCCAGATGTAGCAGCTATTGAAGCATTTTGTGTGTTGCTTACCAAAGAAGCTGAAGGTATTCAAATTGGCACAAAGTTGTTGGCGACGCATATTCAGTCGCTCAATGAATCAGAAGCTTTGCAAGCTCTTTCTGTATGTTATTATCAGACATTTTCTAGGATATTATTGTGTAATATACTGTTGAGAAAATTATAGACATATTGGCTATCAATATATTTCTTTATGTACTGATATTTAAGTACTTAGGATATCATTAGCATAGACATTAATTAGAACTTTAAAGGTGCATATATTTTAAAACTAAAAAAAGGCAGGTCCAACTTTAAAATGATATAAGTTTCAAAGGGATGCAAATCATATATGTAGTATTTTCATGTTGTAAAATTTTGAAATATTTAAATAACTGATGTTTTTTTTTTATTTTCAGTTATTAGATACTTGTATGAAGAAATGTGGGCCATTATTTCATGCTGAAGTCGGTAAATTCCGTTTCTTAAATGAGATGATAAAATTAGTTTCACCAAAATATCTTGGTGGCCGCACTACAGCTACTGTACGGCAGAAGGTTCTGCAACTTCTTTATGCATGGATCAGGGAATATCCTCGTGAATTAAAAATTAAAGAAGCCTATGAGATGCTAAAGAAACAAGGGGTTATTGAGGTTAGCTTTGCCTATATAATATTTCTAATTACTGTTATATATTGTCTTGTGTAAATTTTAAATATAGTTATGTCAAATACTAAGAAGAAAGCAAAAATAAATTGCAGGAAGATGCTGCATTCATAATGGCCAACAGTGAGGAAAGTCAAAAATCGTCTAAGTTAAGAAACAGTATATTCGAAAATGAAGAAATGTCAAAGCATTTGCGCAAGTTGCTTCACAGCAAAGATCCTTACGATTTGCAGACCGCGAATCGGCTGATCAAGGTTATGGTAAAAGAGGTAGATATCTAAACCCCAGATGAATATTTTAAATATTTTAAACAAGAGATCTTTTGACTAAGCTTTGAATACACCGATAAGAACTGAAGTGTTCGAATCCTGATCTAAAATTTTCTGGATCCAGTTTCTTTGCTTCAATTATTATGTTTTCTCTTAGATTCTGATTGTGGATTACATCATTGTTTTAGGATGAGGAGAGATTGCAGTTAAGTACACGAAGACACATGGAATTAGAGTCAGTACATAACAATGTGAAGCTACTCTCAGAAATGTTAGATTCCTATAATCAGAATGAAACTAGCGCGGAGGATCTCGAATTAATGAAGGAACTGCATCAAGCATGCGAACGGCTAAAACCTATGCTGTTGAGACTTGCCAGTGAAACTCAAGGCAACGTTGAAATGCTCGGTATTTTATCACACTTAATTGTATATTGATTCATGCGGTAATGCAAGTCATATGTAACCGACTCGAACTCATATATTATATTCAATTTTTTATAATTTTTAATAATTAGATTAATCAATAATTGGGACAACTGATAATTGTACTCAGGTGATGTGCTTGCTGCAAGTGATGAGCTGAGTCAGGTCTTCGAGAAGTACACGTCTGTTATCGTCCTTGGACAGTCCACAACGGAACCTTCTAAGGCCAACAATTTTAACAATGGATCTTCACTCTTAGACCTGTCGTCTCCTACCGAAAATGTTCCTTGCGAGAGTACTTTAAGTACACCGAGCGCAACTTCGACAGATCATCGATCTGACATGGACGTTTTGGGAGACATATTTAGCGTGTTAGAAAAACCAATCAAGTCGGACGCGAGTTTGCTAATGCCTAACAACATTATGCAACCAATTAGCGTTTCGCCCGTGAGCAAGAAAAGTGAGTATAGACTGAGACAATTTAATGTAATAATCCTGAATTCACGAACTTTTAAGCTAAAATTATTTTTACAACTTTTTTGTTTTCTCTTACTTGTTCATCATGTTTATTTATCAAATACTTTAGTCGTGTATTGTTAAAATGACAATATTTGGACGTAGACGAAGTTACTAACAACGAGGGAGGAAAGATAGACAGTAAAGCGAAAGCATTGGAGGAGTTAAATGAATTGGGAGAGACTTTACTAAAGCAAAGCTTGTCGAGTGCACGCTCGTCGCAAGGGTAAGTATTTTATTTACTCATGCTTTGAAAATTTGGTTCCTCTAAAAATATTAATTTTTTGCTTGTAACTTAAAGTTCTGACTTAAACAATGATATTACAAATAATTAAATTTCATTATCAAAGAAAAATTTTTCTCAAAGAGAAGAGTGTTTATTCCAAACTAGACAATATATTTATATGTAACGAACGACAATATATTTATATGTAATCAGATACATCATGTTTGTGTTATATTATAAATAATTATTTTGCAGGAAATTGAATAATAACGCGACCAAAATCGCTATTGGTGACTCAGTTTGGAAGCAAAATTGGTCCCACGAGACTAACACGTCTGATGCGTCACAACGTATCACAACGGAACAACTGGAACATACGAAGTGTGAGACAAACAGTAACTCTGAAACTTCGGTATCCGCAAATACGTCGAAAATTAATGTGATCGCTGATTCGTGTAACAATAGTAATACAAGTGCGGTGATACCGGACGCGAGAATACCACAGCAACAGCATCAGAACGTGACACAGTTGCGCAATGGTTCATCGAGGATAACGGATATCGAGCCCGAAATCAAACCACTGACTGATATCAATGTTAATCTTGAGGATATTACGCCAGGTTGTTACACTGATTCTCATGACAGATTAGTGGATTAATTTATACGCCAAATCATTATTCTATCAATTCTCGCTATTTCTTGTATATATTATGTTTAAGAAATGTCACACTCTATTTAAAGAATCAATTACATTTGGCAGGTACAAATCCACCTCTGACGGTAATCGAGGAAAGAAACGGTATAACTGTGGTGCTCCATTTTGCTCAAGACAGCCCTAGGCCGGATGTGTCTGTAGTAGTAATTACTACAATGAGTAAAAACACAAAACCGCTTAGTAATTATCAATTTCAAGCAGTCGTACCTAAAGTGAGTATACCCGATAAGTCATGGTTCATAAATTTAAGTATCAAACAAATCTGGACACGAAAATTTAGTACTTCAAGATTTAAGAAAAGTTAGAAAATTTGTACAATTAAACAATCAGGAATTTCTTTGTATAAACTGCAAAATGTATGCACAGAAATGCAAGTGTAGACTGCAGGCACCTTCCGGCATGAAGTTACCGGCGCATAATCCATTCCTTCCACCTTCTGCAATCACACAAATTATGCTGATTGCAAATCCTCTTAAGGTAATGAAATTCCATAATTATCCATATATTATTTTGCATCTTATAATTTGTAATATTCTTTATACATACATAATTTTTTATTGATATAATAATTCTTATAATTCTTAAAATGTTTATACATGTAGATTAATAGTTTAACGCACATAACGTTAAGATTAGCATAATCAATATGATATTTTTGCACGAAAAAGTGCATTTTTCATAAGTTGTAATTTCAGGAGCCCGTGTCCTTGAAGTTTATGCTAAGCTATACATTGGATGACGAAACGTTTACAGAGATGGGTGAAGTGGACAAGTTACCTCATCTATGAGATTCAGCGCACTTCTGTGGCGATCTCAATGCAATATTACATTCATATTCGTGCCCTCAGCAGGCCAAAATATAAAAATATTCCAATTATAGAGCGATCCAATCATTTAGAAATATGTGCAATGAGATGAACTTGTTAGATTTTCTGCACACTATTTTAAGCTTAGAATGCATAACAATTTGAGAAGATCGATCTGACGACTACCTTAGTTACAAATTTTATATACATTATTCTTCACATGGATCTCTGCCTCGAAGGAAATAAAAAATGTAGTGAATATCTCATGCGAAATGAGCATGTTAATGAAACAATTTTTCATAACATGTTAGAATTACTATAAGTAGAAATAATAAAATAGGACACGATTGCCAGATTGTGCTAATAACAAGTGACGATATTCCTTCGTTAAAACATGATAGAACTGCACAGTTCTATCCAGATATAATTCAGAAATTGAATTTCAGCAGCTGATTGTTAAATTATTATTATACCTAGATTATATTAATTTTTTAAGGTTTCGATACTAGAACGATGGAGCAAATATGCTACTCTATTTTACAAAATTTTTAAAGAATTTAATTTGAAATACATCCGGTGTGTGCCACTTTGTAATATTTATTATACCATAAAATAACATATGAAATATACACAAGTACTTATTCTCTCGCGTAAGATCATCTTATGTATTGTATTCGCATAGTTCTATATAATAAGTGTAATAAGTATCACGAAGCAAAGTCATTTTCAAATTGTGCATTCTAGGATTAAATTAGTGAAATATGAAGGTAACAGGAATTAAATTATCCTAATGCGAAGTTTACAAGAATTGTCATAAAACTGTCAATAAAGAAGGGAGTAGTTAAATACACACCCTTAATCTTAGTATGCATAACATTATTTTAGACCCGATGCAGTATTTCTTCTTATATGTTCTTTTTATTAGTTTGGTTCTCAGCTTCTAACAGTATGCATATTATTGAATATGCAAAAGAAATGGACGTGCATACTAGGGTTAAGCAGAGTGATATTATTTCATATTGTTACGGAAATCTTTGTTTTAATTAGGATACGGTATTCTGGTATTTGTTTATTCGTATATTTAAGAGTCTATCGTACATACGTAGTTGTATGCTGCTTTGTGATATATGCTTTAATAAGTGTAAACCTATTTTAAGACTGCGAGTTTAATAAACCAAATAAGATTAAGGAGAAATAAACGGGGAGAGCTGCAACGTGTCTGTATGAAGGAAAAAATTCCGCAAATGTGTTTTAACGATATTTTAAGTGATAATTAAATTATTATTATTATACTGAGTTTCTTTGTACATTGTTAAGCTTCTGTCATATTTGTTTAATATGTATTTTGAATTTTTTTCTCTTTATAGTTTTACATGATTCTTTTTCGAATTTCCGAAAAAATTTTCAAATAATATACAACATTAAAAAATGAATATATTAATATATATGTACCTGACGGTCTTCTTTTACAAAATTATGGATACAATTCTTAATTTTCAACAAATCTTAAACATTGAGAAATGTCTATCTCTTATATATCACACATATATATTTTTATATTTAGCTCGCAGTAACGATTTCGTCGCGAAAAGCGAGAGCCGTGACGGCTTTCTGGTGTCCTTGATATTCTCGTTCTATTGATCCTGTAGATGCATTCCACAACCTCGCGACTCCATCTGAGGAAGCTGCATGATACGCGACCCCAACAAGAAGTGAAAATAAATGTATAAGAAACATCATAAAGCATCAATTGCTCTACAGTTTCTTGATTCCTTTTTTACAAATTTCTTAAAATAAAAAATTGAAAATTCCGACAGAAGTTATGTTGCTCAAAAGTTATCGGGACTGAGAGGATATACAATGCTCACCAGTAAATATATATTGAGAATCTGCACTGAATGCTGCATCCCAAACCCAGCGTTTAGCCTCGTGCTGAAGTACCTGTACTTCGGAAAAATCTGTTGTTCTCCATACTCGAGCAGTCTGATCAGCCGATGTCGTCACTAACAATCTTAAGGGATTAAATTTAAATATAGAAAATTTTCAGCAGAACTTGCAAAAAGGTTATTCAAAATTATAGCATTTGATACTAAGATGTCATTAGAAAACATTTGAAAGATGGACATAAATGATTGTCTGCATATCTCTAACAAAAAGATGCTTACGTAGAATCAGGGCTGAATTTGCAACGAAGAGCATAACGTTTATGAGCCAGAAGTTTATGACGAGGATTCAACCTTGTAGGCTCCTCCCCAATACCCCCCGTAAGTGTCCAGATGTAACAGTGTCCTTTATTATTCACAGCTGCCATATAAGTACCATCTTGATCTACCGCAATATCCTGTATTGAAGATTCAGCCTCAGGAATCTATAAATATTTAAAATAGTTAACAATTAAAAATAGTTAATATAGCAAATTGTTAAAATTACTGTAATATAATATTTCTAAACATTGTTCTTTTGTGTTTATAGTGCTCACATGAAGCTATACTATGTCAATATAAAATAGGGAGTTTCCAAAAACAGGAGTAAACCACTGATACTTTACTTTTCTGGATTTTATGGATGAATATGAAATTATTATAATATAACACAATAAATGTAATACAAACTACATACTAATTGCTCATTATGATCCGAACGCAAGTCCCATAAATGTATGACTCCACTCTGATCGCCAACAATTAATTCTGCCTGATTTGGATGCAGGCATACACAGTTTACAGGTGCAGTAACTTGAAATATCCTTTGGCATTGAAAACTGCTTGACCTGTTATCATCCAGTAATAATTAAGTTCAAGTTACAAATCATCTTTTATTTGTACAAATGATTTACCTCATGTCCCATATTCTTGCTGAACAATCTTCTCCTCCAGTATACATCCATTTTCCTTCTTCCTATTTATAAGAAATATTTGTATGCATTACTATGGCTTTTATTGCGATATATTAAAATTTCCAGTTTAATAACAAATATATAATACAAAAAGACATTCTATATATGACACAAATATTTATACTGAACCTGAAAACCTAAGCCAGTAATATTCTTTGATACTCCGTCATAATTGATAACTGGATTGGGATTATTTGAAGCTAAATCGTACATTCGTATATGCTGATATCCAGCAGCGGCTACAACATACTTGTCAGGTGTGATATCTAAGGCATTAACTTGCTATAAAGTCCATTAAGGAAACTTATATAGAAAACATTATAGAGGAAATTCCACACAGCAGGATAATAGCTAAAATCAATAATCTTCTTTAAACAATTGTTCAAGTTAATGTTTTTATTATTAACAAAGTGTGTTTACTTATTGTTTTATCTACACAAACTTACAATTATATTTATTAAATATAATGTTGGACAAAAATTACATATGATATAATAAAGATGTAATAAAATATTTAACGAAATAGTAACAAACTTGCTTCACATAATTATCAAAGGATACAGAATCCGCGTGTTGTGCTGTACGTTGACAAACACCTGTATGTGGTTGCCATATTTTGATTGTGTGATCGTAACCTCCGGTTACGAAAATTACTTGTTCATTACTAATTGCACCGTCGACAGTCATTTCTGATCAAATTAAAGCTTATTCAGTTAGGAAATGTATAATAATTCACTGCTTAACAGCCATGATATTTTAAAAATACACTCCTATCATTACAGTATACAACAACACCGTTGTTTAGAAAACTGATCTAACTTAGCAGAAGAAGAAGTCTGATGAAAGAGAAGGAGAGAACTACGTCCAGAAGAAGCCAGAACTTCATGCTTACCTCTGATTGGTATGTTCTTCTGGACTTATCAAGATCTAAATTATACTCCAATTACAAACACGATCACTAAATCTGCTTCTGCTGAATACAGCCAATACCAGCGAGTCTTATGGAGGATTCATACTGCATTCGATATGCGACATAGACCCAACGTCCAATGGGAGCTCTTTAGGGACTTTGGCTAGAGAAATGTCCAGTTCCAGAAAACAAATTCTCTCATTGCGATTAATGCAATCTAATGCGATATCTATCGTGGTACTATCGACATGCGAAATTCAAAATGGGAACGCGCAAAACAAAACGCCTCTTTGGAACTTGTTGCAATAGTATATGTATTTCCAAACATTTTAGTTGTATAAAAATTGCGAATAATGAGGAAATTTTAATCGCGCTCTTTCATGTTGTGTAAAAGATATACAGAGAATTCTACAAATGTTATATGCGGTAATTATGTTTGAGTTTCCAACATAATTTTTCAAGTAATTAAAACATATAGCAAAGAAATTTGCAACAAAGATCAATTTATAACTCATTATCATGTATGCTTGTTATTAGATTTAATAAATTGTGTGACTAGTTAGAATTAATAAATTTACTTGGTTAGTTTTGGAAAATTAATTGATAACATTATTGATAGTGAAAGCTTAAGCGTTTTTCAATGCTTCCAATTAAAATAAATGTTTTAACTAATTAATCGGGATTTGTAATTGTAATTAAATTAAGGAAATATATGAGCAAGTGTAAAACAGACAAATTTAGCGTGACAAAATGTTTACGATAATTTATACAAATTTATTTTTTCACCGTTAACATATCATATTACTTATTCCCAAGTGAATAGTTTTTAAGGTATTTCTAAAATATGTTGATTGCGCGACATATATAGTATAATTGTTAATTATCTGTTTATCTTACAGCTGATGTTTCTACTATTGTGCTACTATATTCTACTGTTCTATTCTGATGTACTACTTTCTAAGTGAAAATGGACAAAAAATGCTGCATCTGAATACCAATACTCTCAGTACAGGAGTCAATCAGATAAACCTATTTCTACGAAATAGAATTACAAAGGGTATTATGATGAATTTAAACATCATGAGCATTTCCGACCATCACTGGGCAAATCGTGTCGCACAAGCTTCATGCTTGTGCAGCCCCGATGTTGGCGCAGTCGCGGGTACTTTTAATCTATTTCCTTTTCTTTCCTTCTCGGGGCCAAAGAAAGATCCGGCTTTAGCATACAAGAGCCGCCAGTGGTGATGAGAGAGGGGCATCGGTAGGGAACGAGAGAGGGAGGGAGGGAGGAGTAGTAAGGGTTAGAGCAGCCGACGCCGCAGCAGCAGCAGCCAGAAATGCATTAGTTATATTTTGAGATTGCATAGCGGAACGCCCCTTTGGTGCGCCTATTCCCTCCTACGTTTCAGCATTATTATGGAGATAAATGTGGCGAATATGTCACAACACTGTGGATCGATGCAAAATTCGTTTAAGGTGTAAATTGTCTAACGAAAGCGCGACGCTTTATCTCGCGTGTTTATTCATTCCGGTTCCGCCCCGCTGGTTCTAAACCGTCTATCTCTCGTCGTAAACGTCGCATGAAATCCGTCCCGTTTAATTACTTATTAACGAAAGTAACTCTCTTGCGATGTGCGAGAGAAATATAGGAGCAACAGCTTATTTTCGTGGGGAAGAAGACAAGTCTCCAAAATCTCGACGATCTATCCTCTTTGAAGTTATCGTCCGCTTTTAATTAGCGCTGTTTAATTGATTAGCGACTAAAACATAATAGCGGACTAGGTCGGAGCGCAATAGCTCGGAGCTATCACGTGTGAAGAGAGGGATCTACTACGTAAAAATCACGAATAACGCGACCCTTCTCTCCCGGGTTCCGCTAATGGCACGTTTTTAATGAGAACGTAGAAAGTCGACACTGAACGATTTCCAAAGAAGTAACAAGTTCCCCATTCCCCGAGAGTTCTCCTCGTCGTTCCTTTAACTAGTATAATAGAGTATAGGGGCGGAGCATCTTATACCGCTGCTCGCCGTTCATCGCCGCTGTCGCCGTCGTTAAAGAGCAAAAAGAGAATATTCGTATTTCAAAGGAGCGAGCCGTCAGATCGTACAACTCTCTTCATAAAGAAATGTTTAAAACAAAGAAGCTTGCCGTGTGCCGCGAATAAACGGCGTGCAACGACGCGTAATCGCCGCGTACGAAACAACACGACGTGAAATTACCGCGTGTAAGTTTTCTCAATATTCGAAAGAAAAATCGAGCAATTTTAATCGAACTAGCGAAAAGAAACATGCTTTTCTCTCCATCCTTCGCGAATGACACCTGAGATCTAGTCATCGACACCGAAAGAGAGTTTGTGCGAACTCCAGATTAGGTTTCCCGCGACTAAACGTCGCGCTGCAATTCCGTCTTCTTAAGAGAAGAGCAAATCGTTGACGAGTAAGTGCAACACTTTCTTTCAATGACTTTCACAGCGCCCAATAGGAGAATTACCTAGTCTTAGTAACTTTCGGAAGGCAAATTCTCCCATTGGACATCGGATGCGCTCCGAAGTTTGTCGAGGTAGAAGTTTGTCGCGGCCTTTCTGCCGCTGACTGTAGCTGAGTTCAGTTCGCCGGAATCACCTTCGACGCGTCGTGAAACGTCTCGCGGGACGGCAATTAATTCAACCGGACGAATGGTCCGAAAGCGCTTCACCGCTCCTCACTGTTGATACAGCATTTACGCTCGCGAATGCATCGTTACGCTAGCCTCCGTCGCGCTACTTTTATTATCCCGCGTGTCTCATTTAATGTCGTGGAAAGGAAGAGAGATCGAAGAGACCGAGCGAGAGAGAGAGAGAGAGAGAGAGCGAGAGAGAGAGAGAGAGAGCGAGAAAGAGAGAGAGAGAGAGAGAGAGAGAGAGAGAGAGAGAGAGAGAGAGAGAGAGAGAGAGAGAGCGAGCGCGAACGAGCGCCAACAGTTTGTGCACGCGCGCGTGCTATCACGCGTCGGTTTCACGAGCCAAGTATTTAGCGCCAAGCAGAGTGCCAGGCAGAGATATCAGGTAAGGCACACAGAAGAGGCGTAAACCATGGTCGCTCACGGTGCAGTGCTGTCGCCAATGGCCCATACGAATGTGACTCCGCCTCTTAGCGTGGCCAGACCTCTCCTTCCTCGAGTCCGCGCGCGGCTTCACCGTAATCGCTTGGTTGCGCTCGGTCGAGCGTGCGCAGCAACGTTGTGCACGCGCGCGCGAGAAAAAGAGAGAGAGAGAGAGAGAGAGAGAGAGAGAGAGAGAGAGAGAGAGAGAGAGAGGGAGAGCGTGTAGGTGAAGGCACACACATCACATGCACGCAAGGGTGCGCATCTATGAGCGCGAGAGCGCATTTCGCACAATCGTCCACCAATCGGCTACTCAACCACTTGTGGCCTTCGCTCTCGCTCTGCGTTGCCGCTCTCGTCTTCCCCTCTCTCTCTCTCTCTCTCGCAAGTCGCTCTTTTTCCCTGGAATTTTCTCTCTCCCTCTCCCTCTCCTCTCTCTCTCTCTTTTTCTGCTATTTCAAATGCCAAAGTATAGATATGTCACTGCTGCTGCTGCGAGTGGGTGGACACGCGCGCGTTCAGAAAGAAAGAGAGGGAGAGAGAGAGAGGAGCTCGCCACACGGCTCCATCCGTGAGTGTTTCTCTCTCACATTCGGCCGATTCATTTGAACGCGCCCGTAGACGCGCTCTCTAACTATACAGGCATGCGTGCGTGTATATGTATAGAACGCTACAACGTTCGGACGTTCAGGCGGGGGATGTGTGCCTCTAAGAGCCGTAGAGGGATTTCTTATTTCTGCTCTGGTAAATCTGTCGCTCCAGTCAGTGAGGCAGCGAAGGGCGAGCTGCGCACCATTGACCGTGTCCGTGCTTCTTTTTTCGTCTGCTCGTGGCCGCCGGTTGTTGCCGACCACGACCGCAGCGGGACGGTGTGGAGTGCGCGCGTCTTTTCTTTATTGTTGCGCTACCGTCCACATTTGTTGCTACGCATTGTTGCAAGCATTCGTATCGCGTATCTCTGCCGCGTTCGGCCTCGTATTTGCCGCCGCTGCCGCCGCCGCCGCCGTCGCTCCCTTCTTCACCTTCTCCTGCGCCTCCGTAAATCCGCGTAACATCACAACGAGACTCACGATCGCGCGATCACTCTCTCTCTCTCTCTCTCTCTCTCTCTCTCTCTTTCTCTTTCCCGACTCGAATCACAATCGAGTGTAATCGCCTTGGTAAATGATCTCGCGCATCGCCATTGTTCCGCGATTGTCTCGGGCCCGACTTGCGAGGGAAAAAGAGCGCGGCATTCGCGACGAGCCTGCGCTCATTAACATCCGCTCTTGGTCTCGGCGAAGCCGTCGTCGCGCCCTCGGAGACTCCCGCGACAATCAAAAGACTCGGCTGTCGAAGTTACAATGGTGCTACTCGTCTGGAGATCGGTTGCAAGCATCGCCGCCTCCTCGTCGACGCAGCGCGCGCGACGCAGCGGTCTTCTGTAGATTTCCGCGATTTCCCGTTTCCCGAGGCCTCGCTGTCTTTTATGCATCTCACGCGACGACGACGACGACGACGACGACGCTCATCGCTCGGTATCGGATCGCCCGTCGCTGCTGATCGCTCGTTATTGCGCAACGCGCGACACGGCAGATTAAAAGCGCGCACGGAGAGAAACGTAAGAGCGGGCCGGCCGACGACGAGACCAGGCTCGAGTGAATTTAGAAAAGCACGTGCGGTTGCGGAACTGCTCACGCATCGTATGTAGCCGACGGCTGCCGGGCTGCGCATCTTCCCGATGGATCCGATCATGCTAGGTGAGCACACACACACATACACACACCATTCCGTCGTTCCCACCAAGTAATAACGAAGCACGCCGATGTACACCACCTACGCGAAACGCGCTGATCCAATTGCGATATTTATCATACACCTGTTCGTCGATCGCGTCGCGGAAAGCAAATCCGACCAACGGCAACTCGCTGAAATTCACGTATCTGTGTTCCGGTCGGTTTCGGGAACGAACGCTGTGCGATTCGAGTATTGCTCGACTCGAAAGAATCTTCATTCGAAGGGTCTCACTCAGGTGCAATCAGCGGCAGAGAGGTCCAAGTCAGAACCACAATGTTGATTCGACGTCGATGAGGGTTGAATTAAATGAACCATTCAACGATTCATCGATCATTTCAACGTCAAGTCAACGTCGAATCAACGTTATGGTTCCGACCGAAGTTGCAAGCGCTTTTTCATCGAGTGAGCTTTTCACTCGTGCCCGACAGAATAAAATTGCTCTTTCGGAGGATTAATGTTCTCCCTGGATACTGGAAGTTTTCTAAAACTTATTGAGATACGGACACATCTTCCTCGGTGCAGTCGCGCCTGTACAATCCTGTAAAATCCGGCGTAAATTCTTCCAAGTTTTTGGTAAGTTGAATGGTTAAATGTCTGTCCTCGTTTGAATCGAAAGAAGAACAAAGATAAACGTATAATTTAACTATCAGTTGACTTACCAAGAAGTTGGAACAATCGGCCCTTAACCTCAATTACCAGTGCGAGTGGAAATTCGATTAACGAGTCGACTGTAATCTCGAAGTGCAGGGAGTCGATCGGCTCGCTTTTTCGTACCGAAGGAGCGTCACGGAATCGGCGATTTTTGCCAATATATCGCGCGTTCTCCAGATTCTTCATGAACATGACGCACATGAAACACAAACGGTAATCGCGAATCACCGGTCGCAATCGAGAATTTCGAAACGGCAGTCTCACACTCCCGATACGATCCTCGATTAACGCTCTCGATACTTTTCGACCGCGACTGATCGATTTGGTTTGCCGCTTGAACGCTACCGCTGAATTTTCCTTGCGGCCCCATCACGATCCGTCGCTGTTGCTTCAGCCACAAACTTCTATGTGTAAGCTAGACCGAGAACTTCCATTGTGGTTTTCATGTATAAAAGTGACCCTTGTGTAAAACATAAAATTGTGCGTACATGCGTATTGCAAAGTTCCGAAAGGAATGTAACTGCACCGTACAGGCATTTTTACTCCAGAAAATATTAATATTTAATACTTATGTGAACATTGAATGTGACACTCTACAAGAGGAAATATTAAATATTGAATAAATATTAATATTTTCCGGAGTAAAAATGCCTGTACGGTGTAGGTTCTTTTCGGGACAATTGCAATGCGCAGGCGCGAAAATTTTAATACATACTTTTAGGGGACGCGTTGAAGAGACCAGTTATCGGTCTAGTGTCTAATATAGAAGTCTGTAGCTTTAGCCGGATATATTTCGGAAATATGAAAAGACATCGCCAGTTGCTCTTTAACCACGTTTGCCTTCGCACCAGGCGATACGATCGGGGGGGGGGGGGGGGGGCACAGCGAGGACTTAGTAACAGTAACCCGAAAACTGGGCGGCCGCCGAAGTCAAAGGACAAGGAAGCCGCGAAATAGAGGCGGGGATATCGCTGTCTTAGATAATTAGTCGGGGTTAGAATGTTCTCGGGACGGCTAGGGCGCGGAAAGTGTTCTCGCAGACACCGGTCGGTATAATAACGTTATTATATCGCAAAGTAGTCGATTGCCGCCGCGCGATTGCGCCTAAAGTTTACAACGAGAAGCGCCTTTACCATCACGTCGTCTCAACGTCGATGGCTGTAATATCGCCGTTACAACGTGGACGTTTCGCTCGTTAATTAGTTAGCCGTCGCGAGAAATGGTCGTCCCTCGCTCGAGCGGATTCCTCGCGCATTCGCGGGATCTCCGCGACTGGATCTAATCGTATACGAACGGTGCATTATTTAATTCATCCGCGCTTACGCCTTTTCTTTCCCCCGGTTAATTAGCCGCGCGTGAGATCGTTAGATGCTTAATTAATATAGCCGAGCCAATGGCTGCGAGCTACGAGCGCCGTGCGCGACGAGCCTGAACGCTCGCGCGCGCGCGCGTGAAATCTTATCTTCAGGTACATAACTGTTGCTTGGTCCGATATAATGATGGCGTGAATAGCGCGGCGCAAGTGCGTCAAATGGGACACGCATTAGAAAAGGAGCAATATCGGCGAAGTTAAGCTTTTAATGAGAAAGCGATACCCGGCATAACGACGCGTTCGCGGTGAAATTGAGTCGCGTATTAGCCGCCTCGATCGAATCGGATCTTCTTTCGAGTCACTTTGTGTCTCATTGCGCTCGTACATCGATGTGTGTGTGTGTGTTATGTGACACGCACATGCGTCCGCCGCGACAGACCGTCGCGCAAAATCAGCATTATTGTTTCGAGAAGCATCACACGCAGCGCGGGTTCGCGTATAATTATGTTCGACACGGCCCATTCATAGAAAGTATGCTGTATTCATTTCTTCGGTAGAAACCTTTGACCCCCCTTAGTGGGTCCCGGATGCCCCCGCGCTTATCGCTGGGTGAGTTTGTCCTTTTTTAACCCGGCGCTGATTGCCGTACAAGAATTGGATACGAGAGACAGAGAGAAAGGAATCTCGGAGAAACGACAAGCAATAATTCGTCGAATTTTGCACGTTTCGCCGCCGAATTCTACACCGACAATTCGCGGTTTTTTGCACGCGCGCATGCATATCGTGAACAACAAACAAACGTAGATTGCAATTCATGTGTAGAGAGCGATTGGCGTTTCACCGTTCGAACGCGTTGATCGCCGCAACGGTAATAATCGGACTCGCTCTTGCGAAATTCCACCACAAGTTCCATCGAATCGCCTTTGTTCATCGGACCTAGGCTTTCAGAAAATTTGCTCTCTCGCAGACGAAGAAATAGAAATAATGGCTACGTTCAGCGGAGAAAGCTGCTTTGCAATTGAGTTGTAAAACTCATGAATTTGATTGGTGCGTGCTCTTGAATTCAGCCAACTTTGAGAACATACGCCAATTAGATTCACGAATTTTACAACAGTTGTAAAGCGGCTTTTTCTGCTGGACGTAAGCAATATTTCCCGTCAGCGCGATAGCAGTCGAGCGAGAGAGCGACGAAAATCCGGCGATGCAATGAGTGCGCACAACTCTGCGACTGCCACAACTTACGCGAAGATGTAGCAAGAATTTGTTATGACTCGTGAAACACTGCCGATGACCCAGATCTAAGTTTACTCTTGCAACAGTTCTTACCACTTCGTAATCTCTGACTGGGAAAGTAACAAAAGCGATACTCTCCATGTCACTGCGGCTAATAGCGCGTCACCTTCTTCTCGCTCGTCATATTCGGAGAACCTGAGACGAAAGTCCAAATACCGAAATGTCATGGTTTTCAAACGAGTATCCGCCGCCGGCATGGGACATCGCCAGCGTACCGTGTCGTCTCGTTTTGACAATTTTTTCGCCGTAAATCTCGCCGACGAATGCCGTTCGTCTTCTTCGCCACTGTGCGCGTCCGCGAGACTTGACAACTAATCGGTTAATTTCGAGAGAGAGAGAGAGAGAGAAAGAGAGAGAGAGAGAGAGATGCTTCTCTCGAGAGAGTTTGAGAATTTATTACGGTCTCGGCGGCTCGGCGATCGTTGGGATTTCCGTGTTCGTATGTCTTCAGGAATCTGCCAGTAAAACCGAAACGTCACGTCACGTCTCCCCGGGAGACACACCTGTCTGCGTATCGATGTGTGCGGTGTGGAGGTTGTGCGGGAGGAAATCCTCGGCGTTAATGTAAGATCAATAACACGGTCGAAATCGGAGTTGTGAATCGAACGAGTCGACGGGAAGAGAGAGAGAGAGAGAGAGGGAGGGGGGAGGGAGAGAGAGAGAGAGAAAAAGAAAAGAGAAAGGAAAAGCAAGGAATTACTGCACAATAATACGCAAGAGTGAGAAAATAATATAAAGAAATAATGAGCGGACTTTAATCTATCTCGGTTGCTCTCTCCGTGTGTGACGTTAACAATATCCGAAGTCAATGACACCAATACACTCATAAGTGCTACTTGCCGCTGATATGTAACGCGATACATTGGAAACGTAAAAGCGCGATAAAACGATTCGAACATGCCAAAGTCATCGTGCGTACAGATACGCAATCACGTATACGTATCAATAATAACGCGATTTATCGCGACTCTTTGTAACAAATTATTAACCTCTTACGATGTTACGATGTTACCCGTTCTTCGAATAAAATTATGATCGACGTATTATAATTAAATCGGGCGGGCGGGATTCAGGGCATCGCGCGCGATTTCCTCCGCAAGGACACCGCGAATGTCTGTGGAAGAAGAAGAGCGATTCTCGTATTTCTCAAAACGTGCGCGACACGTCGTCGTTAAACTTTTCGAACAAGTTACACGAGATTTTGGACTTGAGTTGAGACTCGTGTGGGGGGGACGGCGGGGAGGGGGGGCTGAAAGAAAGAAGAGCTGCCAGGTGCTTCGCGCAAAATGTCTCGACATTTGAGTGTAGGACGGAGGACGAGCAGCCGTCACAGATTCATTAGCGTTCAATTAGCATTGTTTGTTTCTGTTAAATAACGAGTGCGGCTTTTAGAAACGCTGTTGAAATAGGATTTTGGTCCAGTTGACAGAGGACCATACAAATATTGGCACTAGCTGCTGGAATTTTCTGTCGACTACCTACTACCGCGAGGGAATCCTCGAAAAGATCGGAAAGAAGCAGGAGCCGAGTTGTAGGAGCGACGAGAGCACGTGAGAGTGTGTACGTGTGTGAAACAAGTTCGCGGTAAAACTTTTAATTCTCCTCCTCGTCAAATCATCGCGCGCGGGCAAAAGCACTCAATGCGCTTCTTTTCAGCCGATTCAGCAGCGAGACGTTCAGCATCGTACAACGCATTTGACGGAAGAG